ACCGAGCACAAAACCAAATATAGCAGTTCTCCCAACTTCCTTCTTTTAGTCAAATTTCATTGGATTGACACAGTATGCCTCCTAAGCTATTCTCTTTTCACCGTGTGTTTTATGGGTAGTCATATGAGTGAATTTCAAGTTCAAATGCTCTTAATATATACTACTTTCATTCAGTTTTAAGAGATAGATAGGTGGGTTTCCAGTCATAATTTCCATTTATGTGTATATATGCATATATATCTGATGATAAGAATGTTTTAAAAGAGAATTCTCACTTACTTGTTAATAAAGATATTGTTAAATCAATGATATCAAAATGTATCTACAAATTATGAACATTTCCCACGTGTTTGTAGTTACAGAGAGAGAAGTCCGAAGTAAGTCACCATTGAACCTCTATTGTGGTTAAAAGTTTTCCTTTTCTTGTTTTTTTTTTTTTTTCTTTTTTTCTTTTTCTTTTCTTTCTCACTCCTTTCCAAAGTAAGTCACCATTGAACCTCTATTGTGACTACAAGTTTTCTTTTTTTTTCTATTTCTTTTTCTTTTCTTCCTCTTTTCTTTCTCACTCCTTTTAGTACATTTTAAACAGTAGCTTTACTCCACTGCAGACACAGCTCTAAAATTGGGGCTCCTGAGGATGGAGTTACTCCCTGGTTTAATCTAGCAGTATGGATTTATATCATCCATGTGATAATTTGGTTGTACATTTTTGTAATGATCCAATTAGGCTAAATAAACAAAAAAATGTTGAACTTTCCAGTGACATGGCAAAGTAAACTGAAAGGATTATAATTATTGCATTTGTCCTTTCCACTCTTCCATTATTATTATTTTTTTTATACTCATGTTATTCTCCTTTATATCCTCTTCACACCCACCCCCCCTCCCCCCAGGGTTTTGGTTTCATGAGTAAATATCAGCAAAATAGTTTTCTCTGTCATAGGTAACATTTAATACCATAAAAAACAACTAAAACAATATATCTTGTCAAAATTGATGTCCTTTATGCCAAATCTTTTTCAAAATTAAAAGGAAAAAACTCAAAATTTTGTTTTTTTTTGGGATAGGAAGATCACAATTTTTTGTATAAATTTGGCTCGGAAAATTAGAAAATTAGAAAATCAGCTTTTGAGTTTAATATATAAGGACAAGTGTAATCTCTCTTCTTGAATCAGAGTAAAGTAATTTCATAGTAGTAGTTTTAATTTATTTGTATTCTATTGAGTTACTGCAATGCATATTTATTTGATTTTTTTTCTTCCATCATTTTTTGCGAACGGTTATTTCTGCATACCTCAAAATGTGCCATTTATGCACAAGTAATACATTCCATTGCCTATAAATAAGATAAAATCTTTCACATAAAAATGAAATAAAAGAAAAAATATATATACAGATAAAGAGAGTGATGGTAGGTTCTTCATTATTACTGAAGTTTCTATTAATGTTTGCTGTAGAGTTCTAGTCATGATAGAGATGAATGAAATGATAGTACCAGTATTATTTGTGTACTTTGATAACACTGAATGGGAATAGGGTTGAAAATTACTGGCATTAATAAATTATTTGACGTAAATTGATAACGATAATATTGTAGTTAGGTGAAGTTATTTAAAGATGAAGAAAAGGGAGAGGGACTGATAAAATGTCTTGTCCCAAAATGAAAAAAAAAAAATCAAACTACAATTCTGTTGATATTTCACTTTTATCCCTAACAGATTTTTATGAATGAAAGTAGCTTGTAGTATTCAGATACAACATTCATTCTTAAAAGGAGAGATTTATCAATGGGTTTTAGTTGCAAAGGTCACAAGTGTTCTTTGTAGTACACTATTGTAGGTCAATTTCCTTACCTTTTAACATTATTTTGTGCCTGCATATGTAAAGGTATGTTTTAAATGTTAAAAGTTATTTTTGAATCTGTGTTTATATAAAAAAATCTTGAAACTCTTTTTCCCTGTTTTCATCTTTTTCCTTCAAGAGTGAAAAATCAATTGTCATTTTGCATAACAAACCAATAAAATTCACAAATACACATCAAAAGAAAAGAAAGAAAAAAATATGAAAATCATAATTATAATTGCCAAAGGAATAACAGACTACAAGAAAGTTTTTTTTTTTTTTAATAATTTCACATGATTTATATTACCCTGGTACTCAGTAGAGCCATTCATACAGATGATGATAACATTTGTGCACTCACAGTGTAAACATACAAAAGCACTCATTCTTAGCCAAGTATGAGATTTTTGGTAAACTTGAGTTTGAAAAATAACCTACAACCTATTTGATACAATATCAAATAAAGATCCTTGTAAAGAACAGGTATTCACTATCTAAAATGTATGAAATTTGCCTTAAAAAGTAGACCTTATTTTGAGTATGAGACATTACAAAGATCAATCAAAGGAATAATTTCCTCTTTAGCATGATGTCTTTGCTGTGAAGTGACCATAAAATGCACAATAACATGGTTTTGGCAGTCGCTGAAAACTTGTAACTACAAAATGTAGATGTATTTGAATGAATCAGGTACATTAAACATATACTCCACCCTATCAGTGCACTTCTTTATACATATTTACAGGATTTTCATTCCAATTTATATATATTCAAAGATCCTATGCTTACACACCTTTTCTAATCACCTTGGGCCAAACAAGCACTTTGACAGGCTTAACAAGTTGTATAGTAGTAGCAGAGTCATCTGCTTTGGCAACAGAGTGTCTTCTGGCCGCCAAGACTTCCTGGTCACTCAGATCTAACACCAAGGACAGTCCCACTTGGCAGGCCTCCGACCACGAAACTTGTGCCGACACCAACACTGTGGTCAGGAGACGGTATGTTCCTGGACCAACTTTCCGCAGGTGACTCTTTGGAGGCACAACGAGATGGGTGGAATGATCTGGATAAGCTACACGGATGCGCAGGGTTGACGGGTTCGGGATGTGGGATACTTCGGCATCCAGGGGCACCCCCACGACGAGTCCCGCACTCAGCTTGTAGATGACCTCACTGTCTGGCTGAGGCTCAAGGATCTCTGCGGAACACATCCGGATCTCCCTGGGATTTGTGATGGGAGCTAGCGCAGGGACGGGGTGAGAAATGAGCAGCGGCTGCAGGATCCTTGCTACAGCTCCTGGCCTTGGTTCTTCCAGCTGGCTGAGCTCCTCAAACACAGTTTCTAGGAACGAGTCGCCGCTCAACTTCTCGTCTGTGAGGTATCTGTGTAAGGCTTCTGTGTGTTCCAGGAAGTTGTCGCACAGGCCCAGAGCTGACCCTGTGGAGCCATGTACGACATACACAAGCTGCAATGCCAGTGTGCGCACCCGGAGGTTCCTGATGCTTGCCTCTGCTTGAGGACTCAGGTTGGTGAAAGCGTGACGTAAGCGGAAGGTGTTCCTCAAGAGCTGGTCAACATTGCTCTTCAAGGCACCACTCTGCTGCACTGACAGCGATGATGGTGTGAGCCAGTTTCTGGTAGAAAGAATCTTATTGAAGAGCCACATGCACTGGGTATAGAGAGCCGCAAAATGGGCTGCTGGAGATAGCTCAGGGTCAATGTCGGCTAGCTTGACCAGGTCAGAGTGGACAATCTGATAAATGGTGAGACGCATCTGGGTTGACGAGCGCTCCAAATTGGCCACCTTCTCCATACTCTCACGGAGGAATCGCAGGGTGTTAGTGGCTACAGCTTCACCTGTTGGCTGCCAATCTTCACCAAGCTGAAATATTTTCATTATGAAATTAATTTATATCTTTTGAAAAACTCATAGAGAGAGAGAAGGAGAGGGAGAGGGAGAGAGGGAGGGAGGGAGGGAGGGAGGGAGGGAGAGAGAGAGAGAGAGAGAGAGAGAGAGAGAGAGAGAGAGAGAGAGAGAGAGAGAGAGAGAGAGAGAGAGAGAGAGAGAGAGATAGCAGAGTACCATTAACCCGTTACTGCCGGGCCATGTATATAGCCCTCATAACAAACAGCTTGATCTGCCAGGTACAGTTATACGTGTAGCGATGTGCTAGAAGTCCTGCTATGTGTAGTGGACTCTTGCTCCAAATGGTAGGACACTTGCCAGAAATCACTATAGTCTATAACGCCGAGAGATTTCTAATACTATATAACGGAATTTTAGTAAAATATGTAACTTGAACTAAAACCTTAAAAAAAAATTATAATTTCAATCAAAATATGAAAACCAAGCTCCTTACAGCAGTAAAACTGAAATCTCACCTTCAACACAGGAACGAGCTGTGGCATAGTGTCTCTGAGGTAGGCGTAATGACGTAATGTGTGTTGCTCCAAGAGAGGCACTATGGTAGGGCAGTGGACAGCAGCATTCAGGACTAAAATCAGCTGTTCAAATTGAAAAATTCAAATTAATATAAAATTTAAAATTCATTTATTTTATATAAGGGTCTGTTTTCATTCACCCAGTAACTAAGGGTTATATATATAAATCTTGTTGGGGGACAATATTTATGCCTATGAGATTACATTTAAAATTCTAAAGCATATATATCTGTAAATGAAACTACCTTTCATTTATAAACTTAAAGCTGGCAAAAGCTCTACAATTTCACATATACATCATTATTGTTACAAGTATTGTATTTTTATAAGATTGCTATCATACTTTACAATCTTAACATTGGGCTTTGAGGAGTAGCACTTGTATATCTACTTTAAGTAATAGGTTTTACTCCAATATAATACATATATATATATATATATACATATATAATATAAAAAGTGAATTAATAAACTGAAATGAAAAGACTAAATAAAATGAGCGAGAATATTCAGAAGAATAAAAAGTACATTGAAATATGATCATAAAAAAAATAATAGAAAAAGATAAATCCCTCTATACTAACCATCATCACCATCACCAACACCATCTACCACACCCTGCCCTCTCTATGCCTTACCTTACAAATGTACTCTCCATCCTGTACACTGGGTTCTACACCATCAAAATAAGGATGAATCAACAGCAACTGCGGAA